CTGTCCCGGGAACAAACTCATTTTGCTCTGGTGTTCCAATGGGGCACTGGTGTCATCAAGTTTTTCTAGTAACAGAACAAAGTTAAGTGACACTTTCCACATTGTGGGAACATTGGGTTTGGGAGGGCAGTCACAGTAAAACAACTTTGCTGTAGACCTCGGGTTATCTAGTGACGATCTTTCTTTTTGGACCGGTGGACGCTAATGGTTTGCTCAGAGTACAGGTCAGACCTGAGGTGGGCAAAGAATGCTTTTCAAACAGATGGGCACGCGCTAGTCTGGCATTTTCACTAACTCCCTGGGCACCAAGGCGGGCATTTGGGAGCACTGTGGCCTCTCTCTCCACTTCCGCCATGACCAGGCTCAGCTTGGTCCGGCTCTACCCAGGCTACCCCAGCTGTCCCCACTGCCCCTCCCGAGGTTAGCGCTACTGCCCCATGCCCCTTTGCTGATACTTGCTGTTTGTATGCAGGGTTGCCTGTGAACGGCCACTTACTCGGCACATGGCCTTTTTTCCTGGGTTAACTGTGGTACTCACACTGGGGTTTTTGTTTTGTTTTGTCCCTAGAACGTCACCTTGACAGAGCAGCTATCCTGGGCCATTCTGGCTGCTGGGCAGGCAGGGGACAAGGCCCTAGCTGCCAGGGTCTCACCTCTCTGGAGGCATCTCAACACTGCCTAAAGCATCAGCCATGCTGTGTATTAAGGAGAGAGAGTGACTGAGAGCTAGCACAGGGCAGAAGTGCAGGCCCAGGGTGGGGAGGCTCTGACTGCCTCTCAGAAGTGATTCCAGTCCAGTGGTGTTTCCACAGTGCCCCACAGAACCAAGCACAAGCAGAGAGACTCCTGCCAACTAAAAGTGGAGAATGACTTCTTTAAAATCAGTCTTTTGGTGCGTGCTGGAAAAGAAACTATCTGGAAATAAGGACATGTGTGCAAAAACTTGGGTTTCTATTGCATTTTACAATTCTTGTCTTTGTCCTTTAGCCATCAGCAGGCTTTCTGGTCCATTCAAACCAGAGGCCATGGGAAGTCAGGGGGTGGGGGCTCCCATAGGGATTCTGATGGAGTTTCAAGTGGCCTGCCTGAGTCAGGACCTACAAAGTCATGTCTCTCTCCTCCCCAATCCTGATCCTGAAATCCTGATCCTAACTAAGGTGATGGTGAGGAGTGGTCCAGCCCTCAGACCCTCCCGAATTTCCAAGAGTTTCGCATTCTTAAGCAGCAGAGAACAAGTCCCAGGGCCTATGTGGCTCTGAGGAACAGGAGACTGGGAGCCCACAACCCCAGATTATCCTGGGATGTCACTGTGACTGACTTGGTAACTGAGGGAGGCGTCATGGTAGGGCCTCGGAGTCCCAGCTGCTCCGACAGGCAGACCGGCCTGGGGGGGGGGGGGCGCTGACAGGGTGCTGTGCTAAGTAAGACCATACGGAGTCTGCAGAACTCAAGAGAACAGTAGCATTTAATCTGTGTTTTCATTTTATCTTATCGGTGAGGAGTGTGACTGCATGCCTGTCTGTGCTGGCAGAGGCCAGAAGAGGGTGTTAGATCCCTTGGAATTACACTTTCAGATAGTATAGGTAGCTGCCCATGGGCCCTGGGAATTAAACATCCTGTGCTCTTGACCCAAGTCATCTCTCCAGCCCTCCCCCCCATCAGTATTTGCAAAGGCATTGTGCCCAGGTCCCCAGCTCACTTGGTAATGAAGAGGCTGACATGACCACAGATCTACGGGGAAGCACCTCGGGCAGGACAGCAGATAGCAGGGGCCATTCAGGTGCCAGGGACACCTCACACTGCCCAGACGGTGCCACTTAGCTAACTGTTATGCAGTCCTTAGACCCAATAAACCTCCGTAGTGGACACGAGACTAAAGCAGGGTGGCCAGATGTAGCCAATCAGAATGCAGGACACACCCTGAAACATTCAGGGTCTGAGTTTCAATGCAAGCTGGTGCTGTTTCACAAGGCAGCCATGCAGCGGGGCAGACCTCAGGTGACAGAATGAAGTCCAGAGACACCACAGCGCGCTCCAGACTACCTCTCCTCCTACGGACATGCCCAGGTGACAGCCAGGCAGAGGGGTCACAGGACTTGTGACCATCCCTTCTATAAACTGCCTTTCCCGTGTTAAATCTGACAACAAAGAGCAGCAATGCAAATAATTTTTAAAATCTCTGAGAAATTCGAGACAGCTGGTGGACCTTCTGCAGCCAAAGACACCTCCCACACCTCTACTTAGAGCTGGGATATTCAGCGCTACCTTGCCGGGGATCTACAGGCTACAGCCCCAGACAGTGGCCAGGAATACATGCATCAGCTTCAAACCTATCTGCCTGTCTGACTCTGCTGGAACCCTGGGCCCAGAGTGAGCAGTAAACACACTAGTTTCTCACCTCCAGCTGTAGTGACCGTGGACGCTGCCATCTAGGAAAGGGTGGACAGATATCGGGTTGGCCTTGTGGTTAGTGGTGTGCCTGCCATACAGCATAAAAACGTAAGCTCCACTCCCCAGCATTTTATATGTAAAAAGCTGGGCAACACTGGTATGTGCCTATAACCCTAATACTCACTGGCCAGCAGTCCAGATGAACCTGTAAGAATCATGAGACCTCATCTCAAGCAGTACCACGGTACATACACACAGCGGAATACTATTCAGCTGTAAAAAATGAAATCGTTAAATCTGCAGGTAAGGAATGGAAGTAGAAAATATCAGGCCCAGAAAAGCAACATCCTTTCCCTCTTATTTGTAGATACTCACTCTGAACCTTCAGATACAAATACACCAGGAGGATCAGATACCAGGAAAAGGAGTTTTTTGGATTTTGGTTTTTCGTGGTGGGTGATGGGGCGGCACCAGAGAGGGGACAGTAAAACATGATTGCCATGAAAAGGAGAATGGGTGGAGAGCTACCTGGAGGAGGAGGGTAACACCAAGGATACTGGAAAAGCTACAGAGAGTTTTATTTTATGATTACTCAAAACTACATACACAGCCAGGCATGGTGGCACACACCTTTATAACCCAGCACTCAGGAGGCAGAGGCAGGTGGATCTCTGTGAGTTTGAGGCCAGCCTGGTCTACATACTGAGTCTAGGAGAGCCAAGGCTATAGAGTTAGTCACAAAACCACACACACACACACGCATGCATGCACACATGCACACACACATTATCATATAAAGGAAGTTTTGCCATTTAGAGTGACAACTTTCCCCAAAATACACAGTAGTGCCAGAGTTGTCAGTCAAGGAGACCAAGAGACCCCAAACAATTCAGGCCTTGCTGCTGCCTTGGAATCTCTCAGAAAAAAAGCCAAGACCCCACTGCTGAAGGTATCATATATGTACAACACAGGATTCACAAGAACTGACCTGCACCCTCCTCACTGAGAAAGTTCTTGAGAGTTTTGGATGGAATCATGCAAGCTGCCAACAGAGTAAAGCTATCAAAAGCGCCATCTAGCTAATACACCAATGAACTACAACAGAGACCAACATGTAAAGTATTCCAAAAGGTACAATAGTGGCACTTCTATCCCATGGGTAACCAACAGTCACCTAGCTGGACTTAAGGCCCACCTAATAGAGAATCCATGCCTAGCCCTGTCAACTTAGCCAGCTACCTATGCCTGATGAGATCAGGGACCTACGGGAGAAACTACAATGGCCACTCTCCTAACCAGGGTCACCCTACCTATCGTCCTACTACAGACCGTCAAGGAAGGTGCTCTTTGCAGCAAGAGGAGTGTACAGAAGGCCACAACTGGTCAAAAGGCAGAGGACAACTGGAGTTTGTTCCAATCAATGCAACCCAACCTCCATTCCTAAGGCTCGGCACATCCTGGAGGGAAGTGCAGAGAGCCTAAGAGCTGAGGGCCAGGACATCTGATACACAATGGTCTCTTCTCAAACACAACACAGCACAGCAAAAGGACACGATCGGGACAGAAGATTCCTTTTGTATGTTTTGAGACAGGGTCTCCCGCTGAACCCAAGGCTTACTGACCTGCCTGGACTAGCTAGCTACCAAACATGGGGCCCTCCTGTTTGCACCTGTGCACAGGCAGAGTTACAGGTTCTCCCCAGCATTCCTGGCTACCGACAGACTAAGCTATCTCCCAGCCCAGCCCACACGCAGCTTTTTGTGTGGGTCCTGAGGACCGAACTCAAGTCTTCACTGTAGCCTCAGTGCTAACCCCAGCCCATGGGAAACAGTTCACAGAGACATCTGCAGTGAAAAGCTAACCCATGAAAGCTGTGGGAGTTGATCCACATTCTCAGCCCTCAATCTCCGGATGTTACACTGGGATGCCTAGAACCTTCTGTAAACCAAGTCACCTACATAAATTCTGTGGTATGGTTTACTATACAATAGAAAGTCCAGATATTTGTCATGCTTTAAATTTTAGGTTTTTTTTTTTTGTTTTGTTTTGTTTTTTTTTTTTTTTTTTTTTTTTTTTTTTTTGTTCTCTCGAGACAGGGTTTCTCTGTGTAATAGCTCTGGCTGTAGCCCAGGCTGGCCTCGAACTCAGAGATCCACTTGCCTCTGCCTCCTGAGTGCTGGGATTAAAGGCGTGCGCCACCGCCTCTCCATCCCTAGCATGCTAAATGCTGAGCCCTCCTTTCACATTGAATTGCAAACCTCTGTAACACCAACGACGGGGGCCGGTATGGGCCTGGACTTGACCTAAGGGCAAAGCGAGGAAACTGAGCTCAGGAGCTGCAGACTGTGGGCAACAGTGTCAGTCAGGAGCAGGCATGGGTGTGAGGAAGGATGGAAAGCATGAGCGGAACCACGTTGTCTACACAGAGAGGAACACATGGTGAACCGGCATCCTACCCACCCCCCTCATGTTCCTGTCTAGCTCTGCCAGCTGCCATGCAATTATTGCAAAGAAAACACTGTACAAGGAAAAGCTTTTTTTTTTTTTTTTTTTCTCAAATGGCTGTTCAATTTATTTCCTTGATCAATAATGATCCTGGCAAAAGTTAGTTAACCAACATTGAGACGTTTGTAATGAAATACTAATTTAAAAACCCATGATACCGTGATAGAAATTAGAGTTTACACAAACAAAAAGAAGTCTTCAATATTGCCAGCAAATATAAAAATGAATGTAGTATGTCTGACAGGACACAGCAAGGCGTTTGTATGCTTATATTTGACACCTGACCATATTTCCAGTCACCATAATATCTTCTCTCCAGATTTAAAAAAATAGTATGCTGATTTCTATAACAAAGCTTTTCCCCCCGTACAAAAATCAAATAATGGCCAACAGTTCACAACAGTGCAATAGGTAGGCAGAGACTAAAAAGAATCTCATCGGACAGGTGCTGAAATAAATACTAGCTGGAGGGGAGACTAGAGCCCTCATTGGGTCCGCTTCTCATCTTAGTGTGTGGAGTCCTCTTCAGAGCCACAAGGGACCTCCCAGGGGGCCACTCACCTGACTACCCAATCTGCCTAAGAGTCAGGCCTCCCACACACCTTGGAGCAGTCACCTGATCTAGGAGCAAAATAACGTGGGATCAGTTGCAGCTGTCACTTTCTGCTGCTCAGATTTGTCTGAGGGAGAGTGGAAACTTCTGCGGGAGAACATGTACATGGCTTATCCTGGCAGAGGCGTGCACACCCTAGCCCATGCAAACAACTGGGGTCACTCTGGAAGGTCAGGTGTATAAAAGGGTTCCGATTTCAGAAGCATCCTTTGTGTTAATGCCTCAGGGTCAAGGTGGTCACATCTCACCACCTCAGTGAAAAGGCCTTTGCTGATCCCTGGCAGTGAGGGGCAGGCTCCACAGGCACCCTCTCTATCTGCAACCAAACTAGGTCATCCTGATGACTCACACTGACCAACTGGATTCAGAACCATAAAAGCAAAGTGATACGGGGGGGTGGGGGGGGGTGAAGGGTCACCCAGTCAGAAAATGTGAGGCGGCTCCTCACTGAACAATCTGCACCGAAAGGTGTGGAAGGCACAATCAAGAGTAGCCAGGGCCCCGTGGGCCTGCGAGACCACGAGCGTCCACAAGGCAGGTGCAGAAGGGGCCTGGTTTGGTTCCCACCCTTCCATAAGAGATCCTGATTCTGCTGTGATTTAAAAAAAAAAAAAAAAAAAGCAAAGAAAGACGATTTTTGGTTTAAAAAGAAGCCACTCAAGGGTTAAAATAGTTATTTTTAACAAAGAAAAATTAATTTTCCAATAAGCTGACACTATCTGGAAACGCGTGTGTCCCCTGTAAGCCCCAGTGTGTTCACTGCCTCCCAGGGCCTGAGCCTGATGAGGAGTCAGAGGTGTGCAAGAGGAAGATCTGAGGCCCTTGTCAGCATGAACAGCAGTCAGCTGACTCGCTTACAGTGATGCACAGGGCCCGGCACGCAGTTCAGATGGGCGTCTCCTTCCGGTCTTTGCTGGGGGAGGGCTTCACCTGCTCCTTAGCTGCTTTGACCTCCAGGACGCCATCACAGGGCGGTGGGCCTACGCCCCCTCGCCTCTCGGGCTCCTCGTCCTCCTGCAACTGCTGTTCAGATTTGGCTCGCTGCGTCTGGAGCAGTCGGAGCTGCACGCGCAGCTCAATGATGGCCTCCCGCTCCTCGTGGACTGCCTGGTTCAGGTGGTTGTTCTTGATCTTAAGGACAAAAAGAGCAGTTACCTCTTCCACAGGGCCACAAGGACAAGGAGCCAGGACCCCAGAGAAGGATCTAGTTCTACTTTAGCCAACCTGGCTGGTGCAACAGAAGCCAGGAACATAAATACAGCTCCGAATGGGTATATACTCTGAGAAACAAACTCTGTCGGAGTTACAAACGAGTAAACATATCTAGAAAACAAAGTTATCAACAGAAACAGTTACTTTAGGAAGTATTTTAGCATTTAAATGGGCTTTTTTTTTCCCTTACAGCCTTCAAGGAGAGTACAAAGGTAATTTTATGGGGAATTAGGAGACGGAGTTGGAGCTAGGATAAAAGCTGAGATCCTTTTCCATGTCACAATCTGTCTTCATGACTACATCCAAATGTGCTACTTAAAGTCCGTAGGAAACCACAATCACTTCTAAATGATATACACTTATTCGGCAGAGTTTGGGTAATTCAAGAGTAGCTAATCCTTGTCTCTTGGCAGCCCATACCCATCAGTACCCTCTCTTCATCCTAAGCAGCTGGGTATGCCATGTGACTAGACCCTGTTTAAATGGGGTGAGCGTAAGGCCTACTGTGCCCTTCCACAGGACACTGGGTGTGCCCAGACACTTCCTGTCCCTCCTAAGAACATGGCATGGCTCAGGGCAGCCACTCTGGCCCCAAGTGGGGAAGCTGTGTGAACAAGGGGCCTACACAATCCACACAATAAAACACTATGCTAAATCTGCCATCTTCCTGGTCAGTAAAATGCAGAGATCAAACTAAGGTGCCAATGTGGTCTTCTAAACAACAGAATCCCCAGCGACCCCCATCTCATCCCTGCTCACTTCCCCTCTTGTTTTGTCTTAAGCAAGGTCTCACTCTGTAGACAGGCTGGTCTCCACCTCACAGAGAGCCACTGCCCCAACCTCCCGAGTGCTGGTACCACTTAACAGGTGCAGGTACTGTACATGGAGATCGGAGGACAACCTGCCCTGCAGGAGGGAGCCTTCTTGTAACTCAGCACCCCCCCCCCAGGCTACAGAGCAGCTGGTTCACCATCCCCATGCACCTCTGTGTCTCTCCCCAGGAGAGATCCCAGATCTCCTGGGACTGGAGTCAGACAGTTGTGAACTGCCGTGCAGGTGCTGGGAATTAAACCTAAGTTCTCTGTGGGGGCTGGGAATCGAACCTAGGTCCTCTGGAAGAACAGCCAGGGCTCTTAACCACTGAGGCAACGCTCCAGCCCCTAAAATGATAGTTTTCGTGTCTTCTGTTGTTTTTGAGCCTAACTGTCCTGAAATTCACACTGTAGACCAGGTTGGCTGCCATGCCCACGTGGGAGTCGAGATTTGCTCAGAAGCTGGGCCTAGGGGCTCACGTGGGCATGGCTATGCTTGGCTTGCCAGTTCAGTGACCGGGAACGAAGCCAGCTACCTCTCTGTTCATGGAGTCCCACCACAAAAGACCATGTTTCACTGGGGTAAGAAAGGAGATTGCTTAGATCAGCCCTTCCCTTCCCAGCAAGCTGCTTTCTGTGACACACACTACTCTGGGGCTCCGGGACTAAAAGACAACCGTCCCTCACTTTACCATTCACATCTTTTCCAGTGGAGACTAGACCACGCAAGGCTGCTGGGGACCGTGGTAGGTACAGCCACCTATGTTTACTAAGGTCAAGGCTACCACACTTAAAGCAACCCAGAACACACATTTCATGGTGGGCAAAACACCCTTGGCCTCCTCTCTACAAGTCTGCAGTGGGAAAATAGGTAGTCGGGAGCACATTTCAAAAATTAGTGATTTCTGGCTATTGCCCTCCCAAACTCACTTCTAACTCTTCGTTCTGCCTCTGTAAGTCTTCCAGAATGATCTGCAGCTCCTCCTCGTCCTCACTCTCGCTCTCGCTCTCAGAGGAGTACTCCTCAGTCTCACTCCGGCCATGCTGCTGGCGACTGTGAGGAGACAGACAAAAGGAACTTTGCTGTGGCTTGGCAGCCAGCTCGCTGAGGTCACCACATTGTTTTAAGGCCTGCTATGAAGCGTGAAGCGATGGATTTCAGAAGCGTGTGCAGGAGGGTTTAAACATTCTGTCCCCATTTAGACACGAGGCAGGAACGCCCAACCCCCCTTTACCTCTGGATCTCTGCGATCTCAGCTCGGAGGCGTTCGATCTCCTCCTTCTCCGAGGCGATCTGACGTCGCAGAAACTGCTCCATGGCCAGGAGCTCCTCCTGCTCAGTCAGGATCTCATTCTCCTGAAATGATTGCAGAACACCTTTCCAAGCTCTGCTACAGGAAATGCCACCTGTCCAGGGTCCCCACCCTGCTCGGTGCTGAACACGGGTTACCTCAACCAAAGCCTCACTATTTCCTCAGAATCAAGGACACTTACACCAAGTTGTTTAGAGAACGTGTAGACTCTCTCCCCATGAGCCTACCACCCAAGACCAAGGAGCAAAGGTCACCTGCCTGAACTTCCTAGGGGCTGGCAGTTAGGCGAGCTCACTCTTCTTCCAGAGAGCCCGCTCAGCTCCCAGCACTCACTGGAGGACTCACATCCACATGCAACTCCAGCGTCACCAGATCCAACACCCTCCTCTGGCCTCAGCAGGTACCTGAACATATGTGTGCAGCACATATACACAAATAGACACAATCTAAAAACTATCTGCTTTAGCTTCCTGTCTCTCAGGACTCAGGGTCAGCAGGAAAAGGAGGACCCAAGAGATGTGCAGCTGGCTGGCTGCAGTAGCAAGTCTAAGGCAGACCAGAGAGAAGGCTTCCTTGCCACACTCCGCCATGCCCTCCAGATACAGAAAGAAAGAACTCTGCTGGACAGATAATCACAGAGTTCCTGTGGGCTCACATCCAGGGTCTTCTACCCTGGAAAGCAGTCAGCAGGGAGGAGGAGCTGGAGAGGACAGAGCTTCAGCGTCCTTCTAAAGAAGGGGACGCCATGGCCAAGCCCCAGTACTGAAAGGCTATCAAGGACACTTTCTTTTTCTCCTCTGTGTTTAAACACAGATGTTTCTCCTATGTATGGAGATAACACTCCAAGAAACCTCAGACGGGAAACCTTGACGATAATTTGGAACTTTATTCTCTCCTGTAAATCAAAAAAAATGCCTACAACATGAACTTGCGTGGACTAAACGAGACTAAGAAACCAGATGGAGGTAGCTTCTCCACACAACAATTCAACAAACACAAGAGGAGGGCAGGGCCAGTGAACAGAGCAAGTCCTGGGGGTCTCTTCACAATTTTGGTTGAGCTTCTAGCCAACAAATGACCTCGGAAATTAAGAGGTTAGCTTACTTGGGCGAGCAGGATATTTATAACTTCCTCGTTTTCATTCACTTCTTCCCTGGACACATCCTCTTTTGAAAGGCTGGCTATCTCCTGTGCAATCTTGGTCTCACACTCCTGTTAAAGACAACACAGGATGAACTGTTCAGTGTGTAAAACATTCACACGCCGGAATTAAAGAGAACCCCAACAGCAGTCAGGTGCGCTGTCTGACATGATGGGGGGGCATTTGCTAACTGGGGTTAGACTATAACGTGGTAGAGCCCGGCATGGTGGTGCACGCTGTTAACCCTAGCACTTAGGAGGCAGAGGCCGGAGGAGCTCTGTAAGAGTGAGTTCTAAGGACAGCCACGATGACACAGAAAGACCCTATCACAAAAAGCACAAACACAAAAGAGAATATAATGTGGGTAGCGAGAACAAGGTGACGCCGTGGTAAAGACACTTGTCAACAACCCTGACAACCCGAGTCCATCCCTCCCCATGACCCACATGATGGAGAGCACGGATTCCTCCAAGTGGTCCTTGGTCGTCCACACGCGTGCCGTGGCATGTCCACACCATGTGCACACTAACACACATAAATAATGACAAACTTAAAGCGAGGAAAGAACATGGCAGGTCCCCTTGGTCTGGGGCTCATTCTGATGGAGTACTCGTCACTCCTGGACCACGCGTCCAGGGCTGCCAGTTCTAAGGGCCTGATTTAACTCATTTTACCAAATACATCTAATCAAGGAACTGCCACCACCACCCTCTGTCAGGAAACGACCCCTGGGCTCTACCATCTGCTCACGCCCAGCAACCAGACCTGCTGTCTAACCCTACGGCCTTTCTTCCTGTTTCCGAACAACTGACTCAGGTAGCTCTCCAGCTTCACACTTGGCTGTAAGACGCTTTTGCCTCCTGTGTTGATGGATGGGAGTGTTGCTGAGTGACAGCCAGGGCATGGATGGGCCTCAACTTCCTTATCCACTCAGGGGCCTCCGCTGCTCTTAGCTATTTTGAGCATTTGATAAATGTCCTGTGAAAGCTCATGGGTTGTTGCTGTCTTAGGGGATAAATTTCTAGGTTATACAATAAGTAATCATGTTTAATTTTATAAGGAAGTGCCAAGATGATACAGTTTAAATTGATACTGTATGTTTTCTTATTTTTAGTCATTAGTCCACTGAATGATTCTTCTGTCTTTATGTCATTTCCCCCTCGAAAGTGACATCAACATGATGGAGCCTGGGTGTGTAGCAATGACAGATGATTGATAGAAGATATATAGATAGATGATAGATAGACAGGAGATAGATGACAGACAGACAGAAGATAGATGATAGAAGATAGATATAGAAGATGGATGGATGATAGAAGATAGATTGGTAGACGATACATGATAGACAGATGATAGGTAGAAGGAAGGTAGGAAGGAAGGTAGGAAGGAAGGTAGGAAGGAAGGTAGGAAGGAAGAGAGTGAGCCAGATGGTGGTGCACAGCTTTAATCCCAGCACTCAGGAGGCAGAGGCAGGCAGATCTCTGAGTTCAAGGCCAGCCTGGTCTATACAGAGCTACAGAGAAACCCTGTCTCAAAAAACCAAAAAGCAGGCAAGAGAGGGAATGATAGGGGAGGAAACAAGCTGATAAATGAAGATATCCATCCCCTTTGCATACCGCCTCTGGTTTCAATTCAGAGCTGTGTGTGTGTGTGTGTGTGTGTGTGTGTGTGTGTGTGTGTGTATGTGTGTGTGTGCGCGCGCGCGCACGTGCGCATCTATACAAATGTTTGGGTACTTGGGTGCATGTGTGTAGAGGCTAGAAGTCATTTGTTTTGTGTCATTATCAGTTCGCTACCTTTTTTTGAGACAATGTCTCTGAACTGGAACTCACAGACTGCCCTAGGGTAGCTAGCCAAGAGTCTCCTGTCTCCACCTCTTCAGAGCTGGAAGTACAAGCTAAGCCATCTCATCTGGCTTTTATGTGGGTGCTGGGGACTGAATTCCGGTCCCTTACTTTTGCAAAAGCAAGGACTCTGCCAGCTGAGCTGTCTCCACAGCCCCTACACCATGATTCTTTTATTCGAAACAGATGTACAACATGAGAAACAAAAGCCAAACCTCCATTCACTGTGCTCTAAGTCAGGGACTCATCACACTGAGGGCTGCTGAACAATGCCATCCAATCCACAACTGTGGCCTGCCCTGTGACACTAAGACCTGCATCCAAAGCCAAGCAAGTGACCCACGGAGACCACTGCCGCAACCAGGGAGGTAGAGGCAGCAGGATCAAGGTCGTGCTGGCTACAGAACAAGTGTGAGAATATCACAGGCCATGTGACATCGTGTTTTAAAAAAGAGGCTGGGAAACAGAAGAATCTAATGAGTGGGGGGGAGGACAGAACTATGCAGAGGCCCCTGCTAGACTACAGGTCCTCACACCTGCAGCACAGGTCTAACACAGCATGACTGTTCACCCAACAAAGCCCGTAGCCTTGAAGCAAAGGACGTAGGTGGTTATCTTTAAATGTAACAACCCCTGCACCACTCTTCAAGTCTGAGAGATGCGACTCTGTAGAGAACTCTTAGAACTTGTTGCTGGATCTGCATGTAAATTGCAAGGTCTTCAGGGATGTGTATTTTAGCTTTGGTGCAGCCGGGAAACTGAGTCCAGAACCAGCCTCACACATTAAACTAGTACAAAGTCCACAGAGCGACTCGTGCACAGCAGCACAGTTCTTGCCCCGATGTAGGAAACCCTCCTGGGCCTTCATCCCTGCACTGCCTTTCAAAGCTTACACGTCTCTGCAAGCTCCGCAGGCCTCACGCCCAGCCTACCTACTATACTTCTCACCCTTAGAAAGCTGTATACAACACAAACTAGGCAGGAAATAAAACACCACCTTCTTAATTAAAAAAAAAATCTGAACTTAATGAAACATCTGATTTATATATAAATAACACAAAACAGCAAACACTTATGTGAATAAATTTCCCACCAGAGAGTTAACATAACAAGCATGTATCTATTACTTCTGAAGGAAATAACTTACTGTAGTGTTTTGGAATATCACTTGAACTATGTAAGGGCGCGCTGCGTTTGTTTATGCTGAACTTGTTTAACTAGGTAAAGAAGTGCTGTTTTGCTTTGCCTGCCTAAGGCATCTGATTGGCCTAATAAAGAGCTGAACGGCCAATAGTTAGGCAGAAGAGGGGTAGGCAGGGCTGGCGGGCAGAGGATAAATAAGTAGGAAGAATCTAGGTTGGAGAGAGGAATAAGGGAGAAAAAATGGAGAGGCAGCCAGGCAGCTCCAGACAGACAGACACATAGGAAGCAGGAAAACGGGACACACAGAATTAAGGAAAGGTAACCAGCCCCAAGGCAAAGCACAAGATGAAGAGCAACAGGTTAAGGCATAAGAGCTACTGGGACAAGCCCAGATAACAACACGCACTCATAACCCATATTAACCCTCCAGTCATGATTCGGGGGCTGGCAGGCCAGAAGGCCGGCTACACAGAAGTCTCCTACACTGTGCACCTCTAGCAGACACAGGGTGTAAGACCATCACTCACTTGTCTTTTAGCTTCCCTCAGTTTTCTCTTGAGAGCAGTTAGAATCCTTTGTACTTCCCATAACCTTTCTTCTTTAGATAAGTCCTTTATCCCACCCTGCAGATCTCGATGTAAACAATTCAGAAGAAACTCCTAGAAAACAAAGAGTGCCGTTCAGTGTCCAGTCGTGTCAAAGCAGCACCTGTGACCCTATGAGGAGGACCTGGCTCTCCGGTGTGACGCAGCAGCTCTGATTGGTCTCTCCACAAGGACAGCGCTGACTGCAAACACCATCCTTATTTGCTTTCCCTGGGAATTAGACCCTCATCATGCTTCCAGTAGTTCAAAAGCAAGCAACTCGTGTCCTTTATTTCCTTCTCACAGCAACTGCTAAGGAGAAGTCAGCAGACAGACAGCAGGCATGTGATAGTGCTCATGCAAGCCTTTTATCCAGTCCCCCACCCCCTCTACACACACGCACACGCACGCACGCACACGCGTTCAGGATTGCTTTTAGACAGCAAGGTAGAATGGAGAAGGCTCAGGTTCTGAGCTAAGTCTTGGTCACACTGTCTAGAAACTATGCCAGAGTAAATTACTAAACTTCCCTTTTCACTATTCTAGCTGTAAAACATGATGGATAACAAGAGCACCTAGTCTAGAAAAACAAACATTTCTGAGCTCCCGGCCGTGGGCGGAGTCCCCCCCCCATGCGTCATCTCCCATATTAATTCCAGAGCTCATCCATTTTAAGATGAAAATACCAAGGCTTTAACACTGAACAATATGCTGAAAATTAGCATGTCAGGAGTGAGCTGAGCAGGAGCTTAAAACCAATTCGTACTGTGTAAAATCCTATGTCATTTCCACCGGGGCTGTTTACTTCCATGATGTGAACTCTGGCCAGCTGAAAATGTGCCTCAGAGGGAGGAGGGCCGAGGGGGAGGGCCGAAGGGGGGAGGGCAGAGCTTTCGTAAGGGCCTGGACTCCAGGCCCAGGAGTGCATAGAACTGAGCGTGTGCCACACCTCTACATCAAGAGCTGAAGGGAGCAGCTCAGGAACCACTGTTCAATAAACTAGAGCTCATCACCTCAAGTCCACAGCCGCTGTGGCCAGCACAGATGCAGGCCGGGAGGGGGAAGGAGAGGGCGGGGTCAGGGCAGGGCTGAGGCGGGGTCCAAGCACACACCTGTCTCCGGATCTCCTCCTTGATGCCGGCCTGGGTCTCTGGCAGTGTGGGCATCGTCGCCATGTTGGACCAACGCAGAGGTCTTGTTACTTGCTTTAGGACCACGGTGCCAAAGAGCTCTTGCACATGTGTGAAGAGCACATACAGGACACGGTTGCTGATCTGCAGAAAACAGGGTCAGGGTTCAGAAAACCACTGCAGCGGTCTTCACTCCATCTGCCCTGGTCACTGTGTCCTCTAACCTGGACCAGGGAGAATTCCCCACAGCAGGGACAAAGCGGGCCACTAACCAACCATCAACCATGTCTCAAGCACAAGGGAAGGAGCCCTACAGGGTACAAACCCTACCATCAGTCAGCACTTTGCTGCCACCCATTAACTGGTCCTAAGTATCTAATGACCTCTCATTGTATTTGCAGACCTTTCCACAGAGGTGGAACCCGTCAGGTGCACACGCTGGAAGCTCTTGGGGACACATTCACAATGTTCCATGACTTCCCAGGCTAGGAAGCCAGTACTGCAGGATGGCTGAACAACTAAGAAAAGGCATATTCTTCCCGACTCAAACTCTCTCTTAAAATCTCCCTGGAGCTTCTGTGGTCCAATCATCCACATTATGGCAATGTTGAGTAACAATGTAGTATTGAACAAATTCTGAAACCCAGGCTAACAAAAATGATATTTGAGAAATTTAAGAAACAGTTGTTTCCTGGCGGTGGTGGCACACACCTTTAGTCCAGCACTCAGGGGACAGAGGCAGATGGATCTCTGTAAATCCCAGGACAGCCAGGGCTACACAGAGAAACCCTGTCTTGAAAAGGAAAAACGAAACGAAAAAAATTAGAGCTACTATCTCCTTTGTTCTTTTGACACAAAAATATTTTCTGTAAGGGCAAACACAGCCTTTGATAGCATCACTGAGCAGTGACAAACGGACAGGAGACCAGGAAGGTGGCGGAGTCACTCAAGTATCTATCACGCAGGCATGGAGGCCCAAGTTACCCTCCCTAAAGCTCATGGGCATGGCAGTGCACACTTGTAAATCCCAGCGCTGGGAGGCGGAGACCAGGAGAGTCCCTGCACCTTGCTGGCCAGCCAGCTTAGTCTATTTGTCAGTTTAGGCCAGTGAAGAGACCCTGTCTAAAGGAGAAAAGAAAAGATGCATGGTTGATGGGAGGTGTCATTCTGTAAATGTTTCACTTATGGTTAATGAATAAAGCACTGTTGGCCAATAGGAAAGCAAGATAGGCGGGACTAGGAGATGAGGAGGATTCAGGGAAGAGGTAGGAGATTCAAAATGTAGGACCAAGAGAACAGAGGTCCCGATCCTCTCTCCAGTAAGATGAGACCACGTGGAAACACTTAGATTAATTATAAAATGGGTTAATGTTTTAAGACAAGCTAGCCAATAAGAAACACTAATAACTGGCGAACAGTTTTATATCTAATACAGCATCTCTGTGTGTTATTGGGCTGGTGTGGCTGTGGGACCAGGCCGGCGGGAAACAGATGGTTGGTGTTAAGAACAATACTTGAGTTTGTCCTACGACCTCCATATAAGTATGCATACATTTACATGTACAGCCACATATGAACTTGAACGCACATACACAAAGATGCCAGATATGCATGCCAGGCTTGCTCTTGGATTCACCGCTTCACAGGCAACTCAGCAACAGACTCCTCCTAACTCCCAGTGTCAGCACAACAGGGGGTGTGGCCAGGACATACCTGGACGGTTGGGCTAAGCACTATGGAGATGTTCTGGATGTTCATTTTCGTTTCCAGCTCCTTCGCAATCACATGGTCCATGTGCACAATGAGCCAGGAAATCAGAAGGTGGTTACATTCCGGCAGCTCCTTGAGCAGGCGCTGCAACTCCTGCACTTTCTCCATCTCCGTGGCCCTCCCACAAGCCTCTTCGAAACGTGGCATAAGCTCTTTGGTAAGCAAATTCTCCGGAAGGTCTCGCAAATACTGCTTCAGCAGACTGGCTACAGTGTTAGGTTCATAATCTTCCAAATTGGGAGATTCCTCCCGGTCATAGGCCGCTTTTAGTTCATCTACCTTTGACTTGATTCCTTAAAACATGAAATGCAGGAGAGAGAATAACAGAAATCAGATATGCTTTCCTTACTACCACACCTGCTGCCAAGTAGCAGGGACAGCCAGTACTCCCCTCCAGGACCAGGTGTGGTGGCTCACACCCTAACTCAGCACTCGGAGGCCGAGGCAAGAGGGCTACTACCAGCTCAAGCCAGGCCTGGGCTACATAACAAGGCCCCGCTTGGACCTAATAAAGAGCCCCTCCCCGCGTGGGAATCAGTACTGCATAGTCACAGGACTTCTTTACAAACACCAGCACATAAAACCTGAGCTGAAAAATGTAATATTCCCAGAAGCTATGGTATATTAAAAACTACGCTTAACTGAAATGATGGTAATTAGACAGAAGTTCCTGGGGAAAGCAGCCATAATCCAAGCATACACACTGTCCATAGAAACGTAAGTCCCCAAGGCAGGCGGCAGGATGCTCCCTCTCCCAGTGCAGTGGGCCAGCTGCTTCTCTAAGTCAGAGACTTACAGAGTGTAGTAAAAACACTGCAGGCGCTCTCCACTATGGAACACCCACCTCGTTCCTATCTTAAAGTTTGAATTCTTTAAGAATTTTCTTAATCTGAAGCCGGGCATTGGTGGCACTCACCAATCCAAGCACCCAGGTGGCACAGGCAGGTGGTTCTCTGTGAGTTCGAGGCCAGCCTGATCTACAAAGCTACACAGAAAAACCCTGTCTCAAAACAAAACAAATAATAATTTTTGAAAATCTGAACCTAGCTAGAACAAGAAAATAGAGACTAAAATACAACCATTTGGCTCTTTATGCTGTACTGAAAAAAATAACGTGAGGTGAACACTTTCCAAACGCCAGAGTTTATGTCTTCAGTGCCGTTATATAAGTGACACAGTTCGTGACAGTGGTCAGAATAGTTTGTGGTTTTTAAAACGTAAAACTGCAGACCAGCTTCGCAGAACATTCTACAGGTTAAGGCTGACAATGTCAAACTGCCAGCTAATCTGAACGTTTTTATCAACATGATGCTTGCACTGGGACTTGACATTTCCGCCTTATGTGCCAACCGTCAATGGCATTATAATCATCTGCTCCCTATCGCTGACAAAGTCAACGGCACTGACTATGAAGATAGCAGCATGTCTCTCTTGATGGGTCTTTATTTTGAGATTGAAAAGAAAGTAATTTCCATTTTCTTATTTTTATGACAGTATGAGTAGAACAAGATTATCAACTTCACTGAGAGTCTTGTCGAAGGGCACCGTCACACTCGGATGTCATGTTGATGGCCACGGCTTTTGGAGAGAAGGTCTTGTCATGTAGTGGCCGAAGCTGGCCTTAATCAACTCACACTCCTCCTGCCTCGACCTATAAGCACACTCCACCACACACCTTTCATTCACTCCTCCCCCATAGACAATTTTATTAAAATGTTTCTTTTAAAATCTGGAAACTTCAAAAAAAGGAATTCCAGTGAGAAATAGGACAGTATAAAGTACTTTTGTATGTGTTTCTCTATAGCTTTGGAGGCTGTCCTGGCACTCAATCAGCAAACCAGGCTAGCCTGTCTCTGCTTCCCAAGTGCTGGGATTAAAGGTGTGTGCCACCACTGCCTGGCTATTAGCTTTTAAATTGGAACTGACTTATGAATGAGAAACCAAAATCTTCAGCAAAAAACATTATAATATTGGCATTCAAAAAGCAAAGTCAGGGTTGAGGCTGGGGAGGTAGCTGAGTGGCAGAGCCCCTCAGCATTTACAGGGCCCTGGGTGGAATCTCTCAAAGACAAGGCGAGCAGAGAGGAGACGCAGCTATGAAGCCTGCAGCACACCGTCACAGACTGAAGAGTATGCATGACACTCAGGAAGACACCTTCACCACCACAGAGCTCATGTGGGAACCACTGAGCTCCCACAAACAAGAGACAACCCATTAGGAATGATGGGATTCTCCAAAAGATGCAGATAAAGATATTTCAATATATAATAAATACTTAAAAATCAAATTTGTAACTTTGTGTTGAACTTTATATGGAAGTAAGGAATTATACATTTACATACACTGTGTTTTACTTTCTATAAAATTGTGTTTTATCTATTGGGTTATATAAACGTTATCCCAAACATCAAATCTATCTGCTGGAAAGAATATAAACCAATTAAGTGGAAAACTTGCTTAGTTTTTCTCTGTTCTAGACATGTGTGACTGTCTTCCCCCCTTGAAGAGAATGTCACAATAATAATCCTCTACGGGAACAGAGTGACTGATGCAAACCTGAATCCCATGTTAGCACAAAATTCATGCTGCTTTTGAAGAAAGAAATCTTTGTACTTCTAAATAACTTACAGGTTGCTGATTTTAGATAACCAGTATGAACTACAGTGGTCCAAATAAGCTCTACGTAGATGAATGGGTATCGGTTTCATTGACATTTGCAATAACTATACGTGGCTGACAGAGCACTCACATTTAGAGCCCAGTTATTTAGAAAATAACACGTCTCCTCTTTAGTCAGGCACAGGAAACACAGGACAAGGCTGTGACATTAACCGTATCTCTTGGCTGAGGCTTCCTGCAGCAGATCTCAGCCTCCCCACCACTGGGCCCAGAAGGATGGCAAGACAGGCTTGGCACATCCCCGAAATATGGCACAGCTCACACACTTCACTCTGCCCAGCCTCTGTGAGCTGTGAATGACTTAGGGGCAAACCTATTTTGTTGTTGTTGTTCTGGTTTGGTTTTTGAGACAGGGTTTCTCTGTATTGCTTTGGAGCCTGTCCTGGAACTCGCTCTGTAAAACAGGCTGGACTCAACTAACTCAGAGATCCGCCTGCCTCTGCCTCCTGAGTGCTGGGATAAAAAACCAAGGGTTAGGATCCAAGCCAAAATGTCCCTCCCAAGTTAACATCCTTTCCTTACTTTAGGAAATTAAAGTCAAGTTAATAAAAACACCAAGCGGCACATACGTCCCCATACCTGAAACTCTGTAGATGCCTTCACACTTCATTCCGTGCTTCTCCATGTAGTCTATACACTCACGGAAGACAGCCGGCAACCGAACACCATCATACATCATGGTCCTCTCTACCGCGTCAGCCAAGGGAACGCCAAAAATGGGTCTGAGACTCGGAGCATCCACCGGAGGCGCCTCTGGCTCCTGAATCGGCTTTTTCTTTTTCTTCTTTTCCTTCCACTGTTTAACAACATCAGCTGCTGTCAAGTCTTTAGATTTCTTCTCTTTATGCTTTTCTTCCTTGTGCTTTTCTTCTTTGGGTTTTTCTTTGATTTTAAAATCCTTCTCCTTCTTTTTAGAGAAGCTGGGTTTCTTGAACACATGGATTCCCTTGGACCTCTTCATCTTGGATGGACTTTCGGCTTCATCTCCAGAGCTATCTTCCTGAAAGGCGGCATAGCCTTCGGCTGCCAAAGAAATACAGTAGGTATAAATTGTTTTTAATGTCACACTGTCCACATGCTTCCTACAAAGGACAAAAGGTACCGCCTGGCAGCAGCTTATACGGCTTCCTTTACATCTGGGGCCTCCAGAAAACCATCCAGAATAAGAGTGCTGTGACACCTAATGGCCACAAGGGGGCAACGGACAGCAGCTATCTTCTGGGTATCAACATTGGGAGGAAAGCAGTTTGGTATTTCACTATGTATAAGCAAGCAGGGTTCTGAGAAACCAGGTTTGAACACATGAAGCACTACAGAACAGAGCCCGTGCTGCTGCTGCTTAGCTGCTCTGCCTGTCCGTCCCTAACGGGAGGCTCGCATCGATGGCGGATTTGAGGCCAGTCATTTCCGTGCGGCAGGTACCGTTCTGCCCATTACTCTCCCGCCCATTACTAACTACCCGTTCTGGGGGAGCTGGAGCGGGGACCACAGACCTCTTGAAGGCCAAATGCGATTATTCCCTCACTGTGGCTGACACATTAATTTCTGCACTGAGCTGCCAGCTTGCTTTTCTTTTGGTTTGTTTTTAGGGTGGAATCTCAGTGTTACCTAGGTGGACTTACACAGATAATGCCCCTGCAGCAGCCTCCACAACAGTTCAACCATAAGCATGTATGCACCACTGCTCCTGGACGTTTATTTAAAGCTTGATATAGCTGGCTGTCCTGTAACTCACATGTAAACCAGTCTAGCCTCCAACTCAAAGAGATCTGCCTGCCTCTGCCTTCAAGTGCTGGGATAAAAGGCGTGCGCCACAGTGCCTGGCAGGGTTTTTCATACTACTATTTTATGTGTATGTTCACATCAATGTGTGTTCCATGTGCCTGTGGAAGCCAGAAGAGGGTGTCAGGTCCCCTGGAGCTGGAGTCACCGTGATGGGAGGTTCTGGAAGAGCAGCAAGCACTCTGAAGCACTGAGCTATGCTCCAGCCCTAATTCCTTGTTCTTTAATGGCCATGACTTTCCAATTCAAGTTACTTTATAACAAAGAGCAAAAGTAGCTCACAAGTTATCTTTTAACTCAAACACCATGAACCGTGGACTACTAACCAGAATACAGAAATCTTAGGTGCAAGCCAGGCGGTGGCGGCACAGGCAGAGGCAGCTGGACCCCTGAGTTGGAGGCGACCCAGGACAGCCACGACTACACAGAGAAACCCTGCTGACATCTTAAGCAAACACCGTGAGGGAAAGCAGTGAGAACTGTCTGCCCGGGGTAAAAACTGGTCCCAGCACTCTGGAGAACGCCTTCGCAGGCTGAAGCTGGAGGGCATAGAGCCTGTGCACAATTCTACACCCAGGCAGACACACAAAGAAATGCAGTACGTGTAAACCAAAAGCCAACGGCAAGCACTGTAGCAAAAAGAACTCACTCAAATGACCAACACCACCAGAATGGATAAATACGCCCTATTTACAGAATGGAGCAGTACTGCCACACAGGACAGTATTAATGACTGACAAAACTATACTGGGCAAAAGAAACTAGACTCAAAAGAATTATTCTTCCACTTTCTTAATCCCTCCCCCCTCCCACACACACACAAAAAAATATAGCCCTGGGTTTCTCTGTGTAGACCAGGCTGGCTGTGAAAGGTCAGGACATTTCAATCACGCTTGATTTCCAGGTCTTTGTGCTGTTCCATGGTCCAATCCACCATCAAGCTGCACAGCACTCATGAAATCTGTGTGCCACAGTTCCCGGGCAATCAATTTTAAAACACTATGATTCCTAAGTAATCACCTTATAAGCTTTTAACATACCAAACAGCCAAAATTAGGCGATTAATGCTCCCTAGGAGGAGGCACCTGGAATGGAACGCTCGGACAAATATTTTTTTTCACAGTTCCACTAGAGTGCCCAAAATGACAACAAAACCTTAAAGGGTAACTATCTGGGTAAAATTCCAATTTCTACTTTTTATGCATTATTCTGAACTACTACTTTTAAAACACAGACTGGAAAATTTTACCATTTCTGGAAATTTGGTGTCTTTATTTGTAACACTAAGAAAAATGAAGAACATAAAAAACAGGAATGGCAAATGAGCTCATCTGCCTAGACTATTTCCAGAAGACACCAGGAGCATGTGATCAGGGCAGAAGCTCTATAATATACCAAGCTAGATGCATTGGCATGTGCCTGTTGGCTCAAGAGGCTGAAGCAACTTGTTACTATACACCAAAAGCATAAAGAAAGCCAGTACTGAGCCGGCTCTGAAGGCATGAACCGTGGTGAGCAGGCAGGCTCAGCAACTCAACCACCACCCAGGCCTAGCTCCAGGGCTTAGAGTTGGCCCAGCCCAACATCTTCCCCTCCTAGGAGCTGCTGGACTGTGTGAAGGGGCCAGCCCTGCTGACCCATAGCTGCAGGATCCTCATGACTCAGGACAGCAGGACAGCTGAGTCTCCATGAGGGTCCAGTATGGACGTCATCGAGGAAGCCAGAGGCCTTGACCTAGCCTAAGGAGTCATTGCAGTGAACATTCCCAAATAAAGCGGTTGGGCAAAAGGGTGTACTGCGTGATAAGCCACAACCTCCAACGCCACTGAACAGATGGATATACGGTGGAGATGTGGGAAAGACAGAGGAGCAGAACACGTCACAGAACACGGTTGACAGGGAGGGGCAGGCGACTGCCCAGAGGGGTCCACAAATGGTGTTTCGGCTTTGTTTTCTTTTCTTTTTATTTTAAAGTTTTATTTATTGTTATTCAGTGCTCCGCCTGCATCTCTGCCTGCTCAACAGAAGGGGGCACCAGATCTCACTGCAGATGGCTGTGAACCACCATGTGGGTGCTGGGAACTGAACTCAGGACCTCTGGAAGAGCAGCCAGTGCTCTTTAACCTCTGAGCCGTCGTCTCTCCAGCTCCCCCATCCACCCCCCTTTTTTTAACATCCAGGGGATGCTACAAGGATGGAAGGTGCATATGGAAGGGCTAGGGAATGAGTGGGATGGGGTACATGATGTGAAATATCCAAAGAATAAAAACTGTTGTAATTTTTAAATAAACAAAATGAAAACCAGCACTTACTCCTCTTTTCTTTTTTCTTGAATTTCCCTTTTTTCTTGCCATGGTCTCTCTCATCATCTGACACTATGTCAGGAGGCTCGTGGAGGATGTCATGCGGAGGCGAGGGCTCACCCGTCCGGTACAATCCAGGGAATTTTGTAGGGCTGATCTCCTCAGAGCTGGGGGTCCGGGTCAGCCCGCTGCCATGCTCTGCCCTGCGGTGTTCACTAGGGCTGCTGGTGGGGGGCAGGAAGCACTCTGTCATGCTGATGCCCTGACAAGAAAGGGAAGCCGTCTTCTCCTACCTACCCATCACACCTGCATGGAAGAAGACGCCCAGTCAGCAAGAATCAGAGCCGCCGTGGACACTCGGCCACTAACGAAAGCCCCCTGATCTTGTACCATAAGGAACACTCCAGGTGTCACAGACTTCAGTTCTCAGGGCTCAGGCTCCTGTAATCCAAGCAGTCAGAAGCTGAGCTACACGTCTGAGCAACACTGTAAATTCTAGGCTATTCTGGGCTCCAGAGGGAGATCCTGATTCAAACAAAGCAGTACTAACAATGAGTTCTTTTTAGAAACAACTCATCTCTGGGTGTGGTGGTGGCGCACACCTTTGATCCCAGCACTCAGGCTGAGGCAGCACTGTGCATTTGAGGCCAGCCTGGTCTATCTACCTAGTGAGTTCCAGAACAGCCACTAGGGTTACATAGAGAGACCCCATCTTAAAAAAAAAAAAAAAAAAAAAAATTCCTTAAATAAATTTTAAAAAGAACTCATCAATGTAAAGGGATCCATCCATGTAACTGAATAACTAATTACAAAAGCAGTACAACTATATACAAGAACAATTGATATGTCTATCACTGTTATTTACATTGGCAACAATGTTTAATGGCTCACATAGTAGCAGTCACTCATTATAATTTTATGTTATGTGTAGTCAGATGGTTCATGTGTTGGGAGTAACAAATCCACTCTGTTTGACAGTTATACCAAAGAAATAAAGGAACCTTCTTTAACCAACCCTACACAGAAGTGGTCTCGCTACAGCAGACAGGCAGAAGAGGTGTTCAATTTGGTTGCGGCTCCTTTTCAGTCAGATTATATACAAAGTACTGTGTTCAAAAGCTACTTAGACACTGTGGTGCACCCTGTGACCCCAATCTCGGAAGTCAGAGCCAAGTAGATCCCAAAGTGAAGGCCAGCCTGGGCTACAAAGAAACAAGTTCAATTTTAGCCCGGGCTGTACAATGACACCCTGTCCTTAAAAAACAAACAACAAAAACATTCTTTAATTTTTTTATTGTTATCATTTTGGTTGTTTAAGATAGAGTTTTCCTGTGTTAACACAGTCCTGGCTGTCCTGGAACTTGCTTTGTAGACCAGGCTGGCCTCGAACTGAGATCTGCCTGCCTCTGCCTCTGTAGTGCTGAGATTACAGGCAAGGGCCACCAGACCTGGCTCTTGGTAATTTTTGTGGTACGTAAAATGACCTTAATAACGTTTTAAAAAAAGAAAAGGCAAGCACCAGCAGCCCTAGCCAGCCACTCCATCCACTACCCACAGGCCCCAGCAACTTGAATGGACCTATCTGAATTATACATTCATGTATCTATCTGCTTGATTAATACAACCCAAAGCACCCACATAGTCAATGTCTACTCAATGAACTATTATCTGTTCCTAACATGTATGTGTACTGCTGTTAAAATGAGGAAATCACAAACCTTGCCCTTAGCTTTCAACTCCAATTCAGGAAGAAAAAAAAAAAGAAAAAAGAAAAGGTGTGTGTAGGGTCTTTACAGGATTCCTCTGGCTTTGGGAATTCATAATGAATACATTTGGCAAGAGCTACAGGGAAATTCATGGCTTTCTATTTACAAACAGAAAAAAAAAAAAAAAAAAAACCCTAAGGGCAACTTCCGCAAATCACACAGCTAGAGAAAGATGAAACCCACATCCCTTCCACAACACTGAGCTCATTCGTGTATGCTTAGAAAGGTCAGCATGAGGGGTAAACCCACAAACAGGCACACATGGGACTTAGGGGAAAGCAGAGGACACTGGTCCAAACACAGCAGCTTCTGAAGCAAAGGTGGCCAGGGGAAATGGGCCATACCTGTAACCCCCAAACTCAAGAGACCAGGGCTGTCAGACAGCAAGCTCCAGGGCAACCAATTAATGCAAAAGCTAAGCACAGCCTAAGGGCAGGAAGACCTGCAGATAATGCCAGTTTTGTTTGTTTTTAAGGTTCATTTACTCCAGGTATACTTGTGTGAGAAAGTGTTCACGCATGTGCATGAAATGCGTGCAGTCCCCATAGAGGCCAGAGAGTCCATCAGAGCCCTTGGAAACTGGAGCTACAGGCAACTATGAATTACCCAACGTGCTTGCTGGAAACCAAACCTGGGTCCTCTCCAAGTGCAACAAGTGACATTGACATTTGACATTCAACCCTGTGCTCCCGTATCGGTGAGGGTCTAAAACTAGCTGTCATCCAGGAACTGTTGAGTGGGGACTATGTCATCAGGAACAGAAGCATGCTGTTATGACAGGCATGTGGGCTACAGAACACAGCTGCTAAAAGTTATCAAATGTCGTATTTCACTGAGTATAAACCGTAAAGAAAGTTTGATGAGTTATTTAAAAAGATGGCTCGTCCCTTCCAAAGGTCCGTATTCTACTCCACACTCACAACAGGTGTGTCTATTTCCAGGGAGTCTAAAATGAAGTCCCATGGCCAGTTCATGGAGCAGGGGTGGTGGAGAGGGAAGGGGGAGGGAATAGGGAGGGAAGAGGAGAGAAGAAAAATATCATAAATCTTGTGAAGTAGGTGAAGCTCACTCTAAAATATGAACACTATTCGTTAACTTTGAAGTGGGTCAGAAATATTCTCCAGACAGAGTGGCGAGAGCTCCCCATGATCACATGTGACATGTGTTAGGCTCATGTGGACACATTTCAGAGGAATGACTCCTTATGGACATCACTACCCAGCTGAGCTCCTATACAGCTAATCCCCTCAGATCTGTTAACGTCATTCAGGTGGTCCTTAACAGCCACTTCACTCCTTTGGTTGTTTTCCCTGTAAGTCCTCGGCCTTAAGCTTTGACTTGGGTTTCCCCTACCCCCAGGTGCTTATCCAAACAAATGAACTTTTAATTACAGTCCCCATATGTGACTCACAGAAATTCACTGAGCTACATAATTTGTTTCCCATGCAGCCTCCTTGCATCCCCAGGCAGAGTAAAATAACATGCCTAAAGCAAGCCATGCAGGTAGAAATTATCCTATCAAAAGTGACATTTTAAAATTACAATACAACAGGTATCATATATACTCCCTTCCTTATTAACAGCAACTATTAAAGGACTAACTAGCAGGGGGAAAAAAAAATAAGTCACGTTAGAAAACTGTTGTCAGTGTAAAATTAACCTCAAGAGGCTAAAATCTAGCCAGGAGGTGGTAGCACACACCTTTAACCCCAGCAGTCTGTAGACAGAGGCAGAGGCAGGGGGATAGCTACACAGAGAAACCTTGTCTCAAAAATCAAACATACAAAACAGAAGCAGCTAAAAATCTCCCTCCTTAGACATGGTGACACACTCCCGTATGCTAGGCTAGCACTCAGGAGGCTAACACAGGAGGACCCCACATTGAGGCCAGCCTGGACAACACAGACAAACCCCTCCTACTAATAAATACTTTTTAAAATAGATGACAAGAGCTGGACAGTGGTGGCGCACACCTTTGAGCCCAGCACTTGGAAGGCAGAGGCACGTAGATCTGTCAGTTTGAGGCTAACCTGGTCTACAGAGAGAAAGCCAGGATAGCCAGGGCTACACAGACAGTTTGTCTCAAAACCAAAAAACCGGGTGTGTGTGTGTCAAGAAATACACACGAGCAGTAACCTAGAGTGCCAGAACTAAACTACCTCTTGAATTTAGATAATAAGTGGGCAGTGGGTAACTCCATCAAAGAAACATAATTAGAAATGTTTATGCATGTGAAGATACAAAACAAAAACCAGAACACAGCCCACTTAAAAACCTGGCGGGCAGAGACAGGCAGATCTCTGTGAGTTCAAGACCAGCCTGGTCTACAAAGTGAGTTCCAGGACAGCCAAGGCTACACAGAAAGACCCTTTAAAAAAACAAACAAATATGTGTGGGTTAGTTTGGGTGGCCCGGAGGCCAGAGGCATTGATCCTTCAGGAGCTTCAGTTACAGGAAGTTAGTTATGAGCCACCTACTCTGGGTGCTGGGGGCTGACTTCAGGTCCTCTAGAACAACAGGGATAGCTCTTAACTGCTGAGCCATCTCTCCAGCCCCTACTCAGAGAATTTCAAGTAAGGCTTGCATCTTTTTTGTTGGGGTTGTTGTTTTATTTTGTATTTTATAAGATAGGCGTTGCTGTCTGGTCTCAAACTTCCTGCCATAGTCTCCCAAGTGCTGGGCTTACAGGTATTGACACCACACCTGGCAGGACCTTTCTCCTACTTTCTTTCCTGGAGTTGGTTGTGAAGATAGTAGCCTTCTCTAAAAATGACCCTATCAGCCAGACATAGTGAGTCACATCCTAAAGTCCAGCATCAGACTGCTGAGGCAAAGGGAATACTCCTTCTGAGATCAGGCTAGCCTGAACTACAGAATGAGACCCCATCTCAAAAAAAAATTAAAACAAAATAAAAAACCCTATTTTTGTTTCTAGGACAAGATTTCCTCGTGGATGCCTTGACATCAAACGTTTTTGTTTCTGCTTTTCAAGACAGGGTTTCTGTGTAGTCCTGGCTATCCTGGAACGTGTTCTGTAGACCAAGTTGGCCTCAAACTCAGAGAGATCCACTGCCTCAGCCTCCCAAATGCTGGGATTAAAGGTGTACGATACCACCATCTGACCAACCAACCATTTTTGAATGTCACTTTCCAACACATCCTCCTGTCTGGATTTAAATGTTCTCTGTGACCTATTCCTAGAACTGCTTATTGTAACACGCCCTTACTGTAGGGTGGTCTCTAAATCAAGGCTTCAGCTACCACTTACAATATACTTTATGAGACCAGAGCGACGGCTCAACTCCTGAATGTTCACAACTAAAAAGATAGTGTGCTGACCTCTCCTGTGCTCGCTCTACATCTCTCTCTCTCTCTCTCTCTCTCTCTCACACACACACACACACACACACACAGAGAGAGAGAGAGAGAGAGAGAGAGAGAGAGAGAGAGAGAGAGAGAGAAAACTTTGAAGCAGAGGATTCATGCTACCTGGAGGTTCACAAATAACATCCACTCAACATGCCAGAAGCAAGC